CATTGGGAGCAGACCTTTGCAAACATACGTGTTGCAACATATGCAACATCCCGATCTACTTTTGCATATTCATCTGAAACGCTTATAACATACACTACACCATAACCTAAAAATAGCGTCGGAGGTGGGTCGCTAAAAGTACCAAAATATCAATGGACGATCGGTCGCTAAAATTTTGTAACAGATGGTGGGTCGCTATTTCTCGTTTCTCCAACCGAATATCGATCACAATTTTTATTTTACTTTATCATTGGAGGATCGGTCGCTAAAACCTGATATTTGAATCCAACCATCCTGTCGATGCGGGACCCATGGGGTTTCCCACAGAGAAAAGAGAAGAAGACCTAGTCCAACTAGGATTCCCTACACGTAATCCTACTAGGATCTCTACTTTGTAACCGATTAGGACTCCCGCCTCTCTTAGACTATATAAAGGAGGGCAGGGGTCCCTAGATCGGCACCTACACATAACCGACAGAACTCACAACCACAACATACCTCGCAACACAACAAATAGCGCATGGCGCAATATGATATCCACACCAGACTGGACGTAGGGCGCCGTGACTTTCCGGCGTGCCGAACTAGTATAAATCATTGTCTCCATGCGTTTACCATCGAGTTCCTGCAAACGCCGATACCCCTCCGAACAAATCACCGTCCCGGGTACCTCGTGACGGGTTGCCGGTGGTAAAACATCGACACATCCGTCGCTATATATATATATATATAACTTGCGCGTGGTCAACTAGCCTATTTCGCGCCTAAAAAGCCCACCAGTCAGAAACCCTATTTCGCGCGCTAGATAGGGGTTCTCGGTGCTTTACGTTCGAGAGCTCGGTGGACCTCGATATCAACACCATATTCTCGGACTCAGTGGGATCAACATGCATCTCCAATGACGCTGTCCGCAACAACTCTGCTTTTTCCATGGAGATTCTGGTCGTATCCTTCATCGCCGACTCGTCGACAATACCGTCAATATCAACTCAAGATCAACACGGCTGGCTGAATATCCATCTACTCGGGTCCGATCCGTCGCGAAATTTTGCTTGAGATGATAACGGTGCATCTGGCGCCACTCGTATATTATACAGAACCTTACATCGAGACGAGATCGGCATGGCTACAATAGCTCGAGACAATCGTACTTTGGCGGATTTGCAATGACACGGCATCGTTCTCCTCTGCTGAATCCATCTTGGACCGAGTTCGACTCGACTTCTCCCAAGTCCGATCGATATCGAGTCATACTCGAGTCCGACCACTAACCGGCTCATGATCGATTTCAACCCGGACAAGGCGTTACATGCAGCGGCGTGCTCTAGACCTAGCATCAAATCGGGTCAACAACGATCCATCAAGCCACCAAGTCTAGCTTCTACTTCAACTACTCGGACAAAATTACTCGCCACGGTGAACAACAACAGCTCTACGACTACATCAACTATGATGATTTCCGAGCACTTTCGGCGGCGGCTTACGAGCACTCGACGATGAGTTCCAAAGATCACCCACACGAAACGGGGAGTACCTAAGCCGCATTTAACGCAACAAACCAAGATCAACTCAGATCACGAAACCTCTCTGCAAGAACAATACAGATCAACTCAATTCTTTGGGCACGACCAAGAAGGAAAACACACGGCCAACAATTGAGAGAAAAAAAAGACCACGACATATACGTGTATATATATATGCATCTATGAACAAGCAAGCCACGGGATCAAGATATATGAAGAAGCTTTGTCTTGCATATATGCGTATATGGATTAAGGCATACAAAGTTTTGTGACTGGCACGCACCTACCGTCGAGTTCAGCTCCATGAAAGAAGGCGTATCAAGACAAGCACGGGACTTCGTCATGACCAATCAAGCAAAACAGTTAAGGAAGCTACACCGAGTTGTTCAACTACATGCACATGATGACAACAAACTCGGCTCAATAAAAAATAATCAACCAGCACGTGAGAAGAAACAAGCAAGGTCAAGCTGGCCAAGAAGCAAGCCATCCGACGGGAAGCAAGCAGGCCACTACAACAACCCGGTAATAGCGCAACACTCTCCGAGTAGTCCACAACGACGACGGATTCCGGCTACCGCTACAACAACCCGCCAACTCCGCCTACGCTCGACGTAACAACGAACAACTACTCGGATGCTACGCCAACTACTCGGCTGGCTGCACATTCGACTACTTGGCCACGCCGACCGACTACCTGGCTGCGGTGAACGACAATCCGGCTGTGGTAATCGACTACTCGACTGCGGCGATCGACAACGCGGCCACGAACCAAACTAAGTCACGTCTCATTTTTTATATATTTCAGATATTATTCGTTTATGTCTCTGGGAAGACACAAAAATCATCATGCGAGCAAACATAGTGCTCTAAAGTCAAATCATCATGCGAGCAAACATAGTGCTCTAGGTCTTCTCTTAACGGTCGCCGAATTCCTCAGGTAGAACACGCCTTAATCCGTGAAGCTTGTCTACTCACATGGACGGTCACGAACCGAGTGCCAGGCTCACATGGTCACGTCATGAACCTCTGAACCATACGCCAGAGATTCAAGTGTTTAAACGTAACAGGACACTACCTGAGGAATTTGCATGGCCTAGCAAGAGCAAGACGCAAAAAGTTTATATGCATTTCATAATGCCGGGGCCCGCCCCTGATTGATTATTCAAATATGGGACATGCTCCCGACTTCATATCCGGAATGTCATTTACAATATATTTTTATGTTTAACATGCAGGGGAGCTACATCTATACCATAAGATCAGAAAAAACACGCTCTTGAGAGCTATTTTACTCAGACAAGTCTAGAAACAACCTGGTTTGATAAAAAAAGAACGCCGATGAGATACGGCAAGAACCAAGACAAGCTCAGAAAGAACCCGGATTGATCAAAAAAGAACCCCGACAAGGTGCGGCAAGAACCAAGACAAGATTAGAAAGAACCCGGATTGAAGGAAAACAACCCAGACGAGCTGGGGCAGAAATCAAGACAATTAGAAAAAAAACCCGGATTGAAGAAAAACAACCCAAATAAGTTAGGAACAGAAATCAAGACAAAAAAGAACTTGGATTGATCAGAAAACAACCCGGATGAGGTACATACAAGTTGAGAAAGAACCTAGACGAAGTGCAAACAACCTGGAAGAGGTACATCAAGAACCAGAGAAGTCTAGAAACAACCTGGATGAATAAAAAACAACTCGAAAGAGCATCACGGCCTAGTCAAACAATAAGCTCTGGGGCTCGGCATTCGCTTCAACTACGCCCGGGGGCTCGGATTCAAGGACGAAAGACCAAGAATACTAAGTACTCAAGACTACAGCAACGACAACACATCAAGACCCTTTACCCGATTTCTATTCTAAAGAAAAGTACTCGAAGAAGGCTCGGAGGCTGCGGGATACATAACCCCAGAATTTTTTGAAGACAAGAATCTGGACCCTCCAACTTTTGTAAGCAAAAGCAAAAGGCTCGGGGGCTACACTCAGTGAGTGCAATTTTTACGAAAAATTGCACCCACAGAAATAGAACTCGGAGCAACCAAGAAGACTAAAGGGACCCTCTGGCTTCTTGTTCCAACAAGCAAGAGGCTCGGGGGCTACACTCACTGAGTGCACATCAGTCATGACGAACCAACCAAAAGAGGACCATCTCAAGGTTTCACTTCAGAAGAACCTGGAACGGATTTACAACAACTCAACGAAGGCCAAGAAGAACAAGAAGGCTTCCGAAGCTCATCCATGAGATGCTCGGGGGCTTGTCGATGCGGGACCCATGGGGTTTCCCACGGAGAAAAGAGAAGAAGATCTAGTCCAACTAGGATTCCCTACACGTAATCCTACTAGGATCTCTACTTTGTAACCGACTAGGACTCCCGCCTCTCTTGGACTATATAAAGAAGGGCAGGGTCCCTAGATCGGCACCTACACATAACCGACAGAACTCACAACCACAACATACCTCGCAACACAACAAATAGCGCAGGGCGCAATATGCTATCCACACCAGACTGGACGTAGGGCGCCGTGACTTTCTAGCGTGCCGAACCAGTATAAATCATTGTCTCCATGCGTTTACCATCGAGTTCCTGCAAACGCCGATACCCCTCCGAATAAATCACCGTTCCGGGTACCCCGTGACGGGTTGCCGGTGGTAAAACATCGACACATTCGTCGCTATATATATATATATATATATATATATATATATATATATATATATAACTTGCGCGTGGTCAACTAGCCTATTTCGCGCCTAAAAAGCCCACCAGTCAGAAACCCTAAAAAATGGGGAATTCCTTGTGTGCCATTAAAAAAGATCGCAATGTCCTGTGTGTCCCTAAAAAAGTTCAACGATCTTCAGCGCCACTGCTTCAACTTTTTTTTGCCCTCCATGCCACTGCCGTCAGTTTGGACTCTAACGTCATCAAATTGCAGGTGTGAAAAGACGAAAATATCCTTAAGTCTAAATATGTCATTAATATTTTGGAGCATCTTAACGACTTCAAATGAAAAAACTCAAAACTAGAAAGTTGTAGATCTCATCGAGATCTATAATTTTCATATAAAAATTATCTTCATTTAATTTCGCAAAAAAAAGATATGATTTTTCTAAGATATATTAATCATATTTTTTTGCAAAATTAAATGGAGATAATTTTTATATGAAAATTATAGATCTCGACGAGATCTACAACTTTTTAGTTTTGAGTTTTTTCATTTGAAGTCGTTAAGATGCTAAAAAAAATTAATAACATATTTAGACTTAAGGGTATTTTTATCTTTTCACACCTGCAGTTTGACGGCGTTAGAGTCCAAACTGACGGCAGTGGCATGGAGGGCACAAAAAAGTTAGAGCAGTGACGCTGAAAATCGTTGAACTTTTCCAAAGACACACGAGGCATTACGATCTTTTTTTAATAGCACACGGGAATTCCCATGGAAAAAAAAAACTTTGCCAACCCCAAATTTTCCCGCTCACGCCGCCACAACCCCGCGCCTCACACCTCCGGCGCGGCGCTCCCTGCTCCTCACGTCCGCCGGTGGCCGCGGGCGCGACTGCCCCACCCAGCGCCGCCCGCGTTTCGCTCCTGCCGAGGTCCGGACGCCGCTGCCGCGCGACACGACGGCCGCCGCCCCGTTCCCCGTCCAGCGTCGGCTCTCTGCCCGCACCGGTGCCGTCTCTCCCTCTTCTCGCCTCTCCTCTTCTCTGCATGGATCTAGCAATTTCCGTCCAGGAATTGACGGTTTCCCCTTCCTTTTCCCTATGTCCTCAGCGCAAGCGGTGATGGCTCCCATGTCGGCCCTTCAGCACCGCGATGCAGGGATCCAAGGCGGGGTGCTGCACGGCGGCAAAGCAGGGGCCTGACGCGTGGTGCTCAGCGCCGACTACGAAGGGGTCTGAGGGCGGCCGCGCCGGCCTGTGTGCCAGCGCGCTAGGGTTTGAGGTCGGCCTGCGCGCCGGCGATGGAGGGGTCCGAGGCGGCGTGCACCTGGGTGCCGGGGTGCTGAGCATCAGCGATGTATCTGTGTCTTCTGTGTTCTGTATGCGCTTTCTGCCAACATCGATATGCAGGAGGATCAAAGGTACACTAGCACCAACTGTCGTAGTTTGTTTTCAATTGGACCTATTGAATATTATCCCAGGAGAGACAATTACATCTGCAAATGCTGGCTGTGCACCAGGTGCTCCATAAAACGCACTTGCTATACTGATATCAAGCCTCAGGAGTTTGAAATTGTCCTATTTCGTCTTATTTCCTTCTTTCTTTTTACCTTGCATGCATAAGACGAAAGCTCAACATTGGCTACACTTAGTGGAATAAGTTGTGATGCCAAAAGTAAGTAGAGAGGATTAAAGATTGCAGGAACTAAACAAGGTTAGTGGACCTATCTCTCTTCTTTTTGCTATATTTATTTTTCCTTCTCTGCATCTATTTTGCAAGCAATTAATATGGATGCTTAATATTTGTTTTGCAACTGTCACCATAGCAAACCGTGATTCCCAGTGCCATTTAGCATAAAACAGATGTAGTAAGCTGACCTAAACAAATGTGAATACGGCAACTTCTAACGAGCATGCACACTGTGTAGGTTGTTTTTTCTCCCTGTCTGAATCAGTTAAATAAACAGTGATGGTTTTTCAGAAACCATATTCTAATCTAAGTTAATAGGCTGACAACGAACATATATTTAAATTGATTTGACCCTCAAAAACCCCCTTCGTGATGGTTGATGCCAAGGTTAGCTACCACTTACCGGTTAATGCAACAGACTTGCCCAGGGCTTTACAAAATTATTATTCCTGCAGAAAAAAGTGATGTGTTTTATTACTCTTGAATTCAGTTGTACCCCAACGATGAGCACAACAATTGTTTTGTGTCACCACACTAGATATTTCCTCTATACATTTGATTTTACATGATGCACATTGATTGCCTTTGTTATTAATTGTCAGGTCATTATCTACTTACATCAACGACTTCCCACATGGTCATGGCTGTGCTGACAATTGTTGATTCAGTGAGCTCAACTAAAACAGATCTCTTTTTTTCCCTAATATTCTTTCGATTCTATGATTTCTTATCAGACCACTTTTTTGAAAATTTTATCATGCCCACTTCTAATTTCAAACATTTGCCATTCCTCTTGCATAGGGTGATTAGGAAAAAGGATATTTGGCCTTACAATATTTGGCTCCATAACAAAGCGCATGCCCTCCTGCTGGTGCCATTTCTGAATCTGAAAACTATAACAACAATGTGTACATAGTCTATAGTCTGCAAGTAGAGATTCCTCCCTTCTAAAATTGGTTCATTGTGTCTTCATTTCTGCATATTTTACTTATTCTCACCACTATCTGTTTTCGTATCTACCTTCTTAATTTCTTAAGGCAGTAGCCTAACTTGCTAATTACCTGTTGATTATAGAGAAAAATGTTATATAGTGCCCGGTTACCACTAAATACTCTCTTATTTCAATAATATTTTTTGGTGATCATACAGTTGGCACTATCTCATCTTTAGTTCACAAATTTAAGGTTTCAAAGCACTACATCAGTGCACTCCCAAAAGCAGCCCAGAATACTACTTAAACTGGACATCACTAAGGCTTTTGATTCTGTATCTTGGTCATTCCTCCTGGAGGTTCTTGATAAAATGGGTTTTGGCTCGAGATGGCGTGATATTCTGTGTGGTCTATTGGTATCTTCTTCCACTCGGGTGCTCCTTAATGGTATCCCCGGAGATTTTATCCAACATAGAAGAGGACTTCGTCAAGGGATCCCCTCTCCGATGCTTTTTATTACGGTCATGGATGTTTTAAATTGGATGGTTACAAGGGCTTCGACGGGGGCTGCTACAACCCCTATCTAGAAGACCAATTCAGCATAGAATTTCCCTCTATGCGGATGATGTGGCCCTTTTCTCGGACCAAGTGCAGAGGACATCTCTCGACTCTAAGCATGCTCCAACTATTTGGGGATGCGTCTGGGGCTCAAGACTAACGCTCGGAAGAGTAGTGTGATGCCAATTCGATTGCTCGGAGGATGATATGGCTATAATACAAAGCTTATCGCCTTGTGAAATTATGAATTTTCCATGCAAGTATTTGGGTTTGCCCTTGTCTCTCAAGAAACTAACAAAGGAGCAATTCCACCAATAATTGATGAATCATGGATCAATTACGGGTTGGAAGGCGATTTGATGACACGGGCTGGTAGGGTAGTGCAAGTGCAATTTGTCTTGATGCACCATGTTGATCTATCTAGCCATGGCTATAGATCTACCTCCACAGGCAATTAAGGCCATTGATAAAATCGAGAAGAGGGTTCGTGTGGAGAGGACGCAAGGAAGCAAAAGGTGGACATTGTCTCATCGCGTGGCCCAAGGTTTGTCGAGCAAAGGAGCTAGGTGGGCTTGGGATTTTCGATCTGAAATCTCTATGTATTGCACTAAGAGTAAGATGGCCATGGCTCAAAAAGTCTGAACCTAATAAATCACGGGCAAGTTTGCCCTTCGCAAGTCAACAAGGATGCTGAATGCCTCCTCTCCCAGCCATTATTACTGAAATTGGTGATGGTGCCAATACCCTTTTTGGAAGGATAAATGGTTGCATTTGGTAAGAGCATTCGGGATCTTGCACCCAATCTGTATGTTCTAGTACCAAAAGGAAGGGCACGCATAAACACACTGTGAAGACTGCTCTTGATGAGATGAAATGGATGAAGATATCCAAGGGGAAATACATGCAAGCTTTAATGGAATATCTTGAGCTATGGGATATGCTAGAGGATATAAGTGTACAGGAGGGGATCCACGATAGGCATATTTGGAGGCTGTCCGCCTCGGGTAAATATCTGACTAAATCAGCCTATGGTGCACTTTTTGAGGGAGCCCTCAGTTTTCGCCCCCATTTGAGCGCATCTGGAAATCTTGGGCGCCCCTAAGTGTCGTTTCTTCATGTGGCTGGTTGCTCACAATCGCTGCTGGACAGCTGACAGGTTGGCTCAAGAGGTCTTCCTCATCCGGACCATTGTCGCTATGTGATCAAGAAGAAGAGAACATCCAGCACCTTCTCATTGGGTGTGTGTTTGCAAGACAATTCTGGTATGACATCCTACATAGCATCGGATGGCAAAGCACTAGCCCCACAGATGATGTTTCCTCCTTTGATGATTGGTGGGACAAGGCGGTCTTGATGAAGAAGCGAAGATCTTGAAAGGGACTGAATTCCCTCATTATCCTAGGAGCTGGACCATCCGAAACATCGAAACGATTGTGTCTTCAACGGAGCTACCCCTAGATTATCTACAGCTTTGAACCTTGCTAGGGAGGAAGCCCTCCTTTGGTCTTTGGCTGGTGCTAGGGGACTGTCCCCGATACATAGCTCTTGATGTTTAGAGGGTCTCTGGTCATGGTTTTCTTCTCAAGCATAGGTGATTAGTTCCAGTCAGTAAGTGGAGGTGTGTTGGTGTTGTGTTTGTGGGTGTGGGTGTGTTTGGGTTTCTGTATGACTCCTTTCTCTTCTATTAATACAATGATACGCAGCTCTCCTGCGTATTCGGAAAAAAAAAGACAAGAAGGGCTTTATTATGTCTATTCCATCATTATGCAAAGTTTGCAGCTTTTCTTATGAGCAGAGTGTGCCAGGCTTCATCCGTCAACTTATCAAAGGCTTATGGTTGTCACTGCTCCCGCTTCTTTAAATTGGCAAGCCAAGCAAATTTGAGCAGCTTAACAAGAGTTTACCTATTTTGGTTGTGCTATTTATATCTAACAGCACTATGTTTGCTCATGTACTTTTGTACGCATACTTTATTTGGGGCTGGGTATGCAAGAGGACATACACACACATTTGTACCGGCTTATATGCTATTACGCAAAAAGGACTACTTATTCCTTCTGCATTTCTAGCTGGCGCAACGTGTTGAAATGGAGAGACAATGTTTGAATCATAATTGACTGATATATACCGCATTGGTCACTGCATCTAAATCTGTTGCATATCGAGAATATAGTCAGTCTCCTACCCGCGCGAAGCGCGGGGTTACCTGCTAGTTCTACTTTATTCTTTCAGCACGTCTGTATGTAGTATTTGGTTTTCTCATTCAATGCTGTTTAGTGGTTACTGATAATTGACTTGTCATTGACAGGTCACCGGCATGGTCCCTGCTGAGTATCGATTCTGCTGGAGCACTCTTGAATGCCATTAACTCAGTTCTTCAGAGTAAACCTTTTAACTCAGCTCTCCAAATTCTTCTCAGATCCATTTTAGGATAGCCGCAAACGCTTTTTAAGTTAGCAGTGGTTCTGGTGGTATAGTAGTATATTTTTGAACATAGTAGACTTACCACGCTCTTGCATAATGAATACTACTTTGTATTAGTAGTTTTAGTAGTAACCAAATACTTCATAGGAAAACATGGCAATAGTAGTGTTAGTAGTATTCAGACATGGCATTAGTAGTATTCAATGTTTACAAGTCTTGGGCTCATTGAAAAAATTCTCATTTTTGCCGGACCATCTTCATGCCTACCTTAAAATAAGTCAGCCAACACCAGGCAAGTGTTACTCCCTTCCTCGATCCATCAGCTTGTCTTGTTGAATCATTATTTTTGTTGTCTGCTCCGAGCCAGTCATCAAAGTCTGAGAAACAATAAACTCAAGTAGTGAAGTCTTGAATGGTGAAAATAAAACACAAACAACTAAGGGGTAAGCACTGGACGTTTCATTTTTGAAGGCAAACTGAATGTGATTTATATTCGTAAAACTGTGTCTTCTCACTCCCGTATAAGTTGT